CCGCGTCTGCACGCGCCGCCGCCGCCCAGGGGCCGTCGCAAAAGAGGTTAGGCGCGCAGCTAACGGGCCCGGAGAGCGCGGGAGGGGCCGTCACTGAAGGGCGGCGGGCGCCGGCCGGGCTTCGCGCGTCAGCAGAGCGCCGGCTGCCGGCAGAAGGAGCGCACTGATTGGCTGAGCGAGTGGAGGAGCAGGGCGGGGCAAGACAGGGCCTCTTCCGCCCGACGCTGCAGGGGATGGAACAGTGCGGCGGCCTTTGCTCCAGTGCCCACTCCGAACCCTCGGGCCCTGGAGCCCGAGTCCCAGCCCCTGAAAAGCAACAGGCTCGGTGCAGACCTCTTCCCACTCGTGCGCTTCGCCCTCTGCGAGTGCGGTAAGCGACGCGCGGCCTCGAGGTTCGCGGGATCCCGCCGCTGTCCATAGGCTGCACGCAGTATTCCAGGAAGGGGAAAATCTTAAACCTGGCTCCGGAAAGGAACCGACCGCTGCCACCCTGCCAAGAGTTCACCCCAAATCCTGGCTTTCTGCCGTCTTCGAGGGCTAGTGGACCGGCTCTTCCACGCCAGAGCTAGAGTCATACTTTCAACCACTTACTGGTCTTGACCACGAGGTTTAAGAGAACTGGTTCATTTTCACATCCCCCCGCATACCTCCCACTCCTGCCTCCTTCTGCATCTCCTGCCTGCTTTGATTAAGGATACGGCGCTGACCTCAGTCTCCCTCTGCATTTTCGCTCTCTAGATGATCCATCCCTTGGCCAACCCAGAGGATGTGGCCTTGACCCTACCCAAGTTATCCTTTACTTTCACGGAGCCCATTCCAACAGTCTCCTCTCTCTCTCATACGCTGATTCTACTTTCATGCTCTGGGTAAGATGATCTTTCAGAACGACAGATCAGAGACTTCCTGCGCCCAAAGAAAAGTGAAAACTCCTTAGCCTGAAGTTGAAAGACCCAAGGTTTTGGGTTTTTGTTTTGTTTTATGTATTCCAGCCATAAAATTTCCTACAAAGCACAGTACCTTGCGCCATCCAACTCCTACACGTGCAGATACAAAGCCTATTCCTCCTCGTCCACACTGCCCTTTGAGGGCCCCAATCATTACTTTCACTACAGACTGCTTTTAAAATATCAATTGTGTATTTGGAGCAGAAACACTTTGAGGAAACAAAGGGGGCGGGGATAAATTCCAGTCCTCCAGAATTCAGTGACCACTTTCAGGATTAACATCACAACTTTCTTCATAAAGCATGGTCATGAAATTTTACCTCCACAGCCCTTTCAACATTAAGAGATTCATGAGAGGACATCAACCATAACCATAACAATGGATTCACTAACTTGCTTTCCTTTTCTGAACAACTCTCAGAAGATTAAATGTAAATGCTTTGTTTTTGTTTTTTTTGGTTTTTCTCCGGTACCAGGAACCGAACTCACGACCTTGCGCTTGCCAGGCAAGCGCTTTTGCCGCTGAGCTAAATCCCCAGCCCTTGGATGGGAAGTTGCAGCTCCCCACTCTACCTTCTTCATGAGCTCAAAGCAAAGGAAAGAGATCCTTTTCTCTGGGCCACTTAGTAGCAAACTGACAAGAGCGGAGAAGTTAAAAGAATATGAATATGACCTCCACACACCAGGAGTCTGCAGTGGGCGCTGGTAACTCCAGACCCAGATCCTTCTACTGGCCAACATCTCCATCCTCTTCCACCTGCTCTGAGTTGTGGCTGCTAATAACAGCCATAGAGCAGGCCCCTTCTCTTGAGGGCTGTACTTAGCTGAAGGAAGCCTAATTTCCCACTGAGATGATACTCTTGCTAAGTTCTTCTCTGCCCTCACCTCTCATTCCCCTCCTCCCCAGAACCCTTCCATAACATATCATGAACACCTAATTGTGCCTTAAGCCCTACTTCTAGGAAGCCTGGCTTAACACAGTGGATACCAGGAGTGGTCCTTAGGAGAATATGACCAACGTTCCAAGTAATAGGTGTGACACTAATAGTTCTCTAATTGTGCCATGCTCCCACTGGAGGGGAACTATGACCAGATGTGGGTAAAAAGGAGTGTGGTGGCCTATTCAGTCTCTCTGGTGTTTGAAGATGTGGGGGGAACTAATAATTAGAACTGTAAAATTGGGTATTCATGGGATGTTTTAAAAAGGGAAAAATGACAGGTTTCAAGTGATTGGTCATTAGTATAAAGCAAAGCATGAAAGCCAGAGACCCTTCCATGCTACTCATTCTAACTGTTGGCATCTGTAGTCTGAGGACAGACAGTCCCAAGGACCAGGCTGAGGACTTAGTTTAAAAGGAGCAGAACATTAGGAAAGATTGAATTCTCAGCCACCAACAGCCTCCAACAACAGTCAGTGCTCTGATAAGGAAGAGGAGACCCAAGGCTAACAATGAGAATCTAACATTAGTGAGACTTTAGCCCATTTCCACTTGTTAGAGAATAGAGCCACCACCCCAAAGTCTTATGCACACACTGGCTACCTGTCTACTAAGATCAGGTCCCGGTATGACCTGGCAGGAAATACCAGGGCAGCTAGGGAAGGAATGAAATGATAAATTGAAAGAGATACACAATCAAGCTCATATATACCAGCAGGAACTGCAAATAAGTGAGAGAATGGATTGTGACAATGCTAGAAGCCAGGGGCAGGGAGGGGAGTAGATAAGGCGAGTTGGTGGAAATAGAAGCATTGTCCCATATTATAGATAGAACACTTTTGTCAAGAGCCCTGGTTCTGATGCACTGTAGCACGTGGCAAAAGAAATGGTGCCTGTTCTATGAAGCTGAGAGGCCCTGACTTGGTTGGTGGATAGTGGCAGAAGAAGCAAAGGGTTCAGGAAAGTGGATGTGCTAAAATGAGTGCTACCAGCTGACTGTATGCTGTGACCAAGGCCTGGGACACACACTGTTTATCATAACCACATCTTGAGGATGGGGAGTGGAGCAAAGCCGGCACAGCTTTGTTGATAAACAGCGACACATGGATGTGGCTGTCAGCTGTAGGTCAGGGCTGAGACTAGAGGGTGTCACTGCAGACCTGGGCTCTCCTGTAGCAAGGAGGACGATAGAATTTTGGAGTTACAGGAGCCAGGTAGCAGCACTTACTCAGCGGAAGCAAAGTGAGCGTGCTTGTTGCTATAGGCATCAGTGACAGGAGTGCCTGACTTGCAGGCATCCACAGAGATGGCTAACAGAGTGCGGGGAAGGCAGACAGGCAGTCAACAAAGGCATAATACATAGATGATTGAAGGGTGTATATCTTGCTCTATAAAATCTGGATGCACAGTAGCAAAGATCAGCTGTTCAAGTGGGAAAAAACAATCACCTGCCAAGTTTCTGACCTGAGACAGTTTTCAGGTCCAAAACACCCATGCAGTAAAGAAGAAGCCTGATCTATGCTCTCCAAATTTGTCCCCAAAGATCTCTGGCTATTTAATTTACTCGGTAACCATACACTAGGAAAGGGGGAGCACTCTGGTATGTCTAGGATATCGGTTACAGAGTCCATGTTGATGCAGCAGATGTGGACCATAAACATCTCCAGGGCCCCCTTACAGCTATAGGTCAAGTGATGTGCTGAGTCCACCGGGTCAGTGTCTGGCTCCCAAATGCAGGATTCAAGTAGTCACACTCAGGAGTTGCCAGAAAGCACACATCGGTTCCTTGACTCAGAGGACAGAGCTATTCAGTAAGGAAAGGCAAGTGGAAGCCCCTGGACAGCCCTCTCTGTCAAAGGGAATCACCTTGGGTGAAGGGCAGGGAATAGCGCTGCCCTCAGAGCTGTCCGGGATGCAAGGCTGCAGATTTTGAACTTTTTCCCACTGAATCATCAGTGTGGCCGCTGCAAACTCTGGATGGTTTAAGGAGGACGACAGTGAATGAATGCAGACTTAACCAAGAGCTGGCTGAATCCTGCCACTGCCCATTCCGTCCCTGTATGTTCTGTAACCACAACAGAATGGAGCGGCATTTAGCATCTCTTTGTTGATCCTTGCACCAGGCCCTTTACCTCTCGTAGACTTTACTCATAATCACTCTCACCAAAGAAGAAATAATAGAAATGCCAAGAGCCGGGCGTGGGGGTGCACGCCTGTAATCCTAGCACTCAGGAGGCTGAGGCAGGAGGGTCGTTACAAGTTCCAGACCAGCCTGGGCTACAGAGTGAGCTCAAGGCCAGCCTGAACTGCATAGCAAGACCCTGTCCAAAAAGACAAAAAAAAATAAAAAATAAATAAATAAATAGAAATGCCAAAACACACATTAGCAACAAAGAAAAACCTGTCATTTTACCACAAAACAGGAAAGAAAGGGAGGCAAGGAGGGAAGAAGGAAGAAAAGAGTAAAAAAGGGAGACAGGAGAGGGAGAGAAGAGTACCTTCCTTGCACTGTTTAAGAGTGCTTAGCTGTCACTACCAATAGACTTGTCCCTGCAGACCAGGTGGGAAGACAGTCTTCAGACGGTGCTGTTTATAAACAGACGGTGTAAATCCCAGCTTCAGCTTTTATTAGTTGGGTTGTTCAAGTCTTGCTTTAGACTGCCATGAAATGAAAAGCTAATTTAACTTATCAGAGTAAATAATAGTAATTAACACCCCTCCCCGCAAAACCAACAGAAGACATGAAAGCCTGAAAGTTTTCAAGGCAGGTTTTATTCATCTTCTGAGTACTGTCTTCTCGGAATTCAATCTGAAGCTGCACAGTATCTGCCCCAAATCTAAGACTTCACTTGTTTTGGGGTGACAGACCCAGAGATGCTCCTTTATGGAGTCCCAAAATATTAATTTGGAACTCAGAGCCATGCATTGGAGGTGCTGTACCTACTTTCCAGAGACTATTTTGCTGGGTATCCGGAGCTGTGCCTACTTGGTTATCCACAGCATCACCCTGCTTCAAATGAGGACAGTAAGGGGCTGGGGATTTAGCTCAGTGGCACAGCGCCTGCCTGGCAAGTGCGAGGTCGTAAGTTTGATTCCCGGTTCCAGAACAAAAAAATAATAATAATAAAACAAATGAGGACAGTAATAGTAGGGGCCAGTGGATGGACTTAACCTGAGTGAATAGTGTTCAGGAAAAGTTTTGCAAATGGAGTGACATTTGAAATGGGGCGTTGAGGATTAAGCAGAATTTTTTTCCCAGGCAAATAAAGGCTGCCAGCAGTCAGGACCAAATGCCAACTGGAAGCAAAGTTTGTCTCTCTTGGAATTCCATTGCCCTTAGATTTTGTGTACAGAAATGAAGACTGATAATTCAAGTGATAATAAAGACAAGATTCATCAGGAAGTTTGATTCAGTATATTTAGAGTTTCAAAGGAGAAAGGGAAAATAGGTGTAAGTCTGACTGGCTGACTGAGCTTATAAGGAAAAATATTACTTTCTAATGTAAACAATGGAAATCCATTCCTGATGAATTCACAACAAAAATGCGTTCTATCTTAAACAATGAATAAATGCAGTATTAAAGTTTGCCCACTGACACATCAACATCAAGCCAAGCTATTTCTACCTGAAAGGAGATAAAATTACCTTTATTTGCATGTTATACATCTATTTATGAAAAAGAGAACATGAGCATTTCACATGTGGCTAACTTACCTGAGGAACCAGATTTTAAATCTTATTTATTTTAGGAAAATGGTTGTTTAAAGGAGACTTAAAACTCAATTTAATGTCAATATACTTGATGTCACTGAACTGTGCATTTAGATTCTATATGTATTACTACAATAAAAAATCCAGGGAGGCTGAGGCATTAGGATCAAAACCTTGAAACCACCTTGGGCAACTTAGTAATTTAGCAAGACAGTGTCTCCAAAAAGGAAAAAAAAAGAAATATATATATATGGATGGTTGGAGATGTAGCTCAATGCCAGTTTTCTACAGTGGGTTCCCCAGTAATGAAAATACATATCCACATACTATCAGTATCTAATTATAAAAAAAAAATGAAAGTAATCTTAATCATAGGTGCAGAGAGGGGAGGGAAAAGCAGAGCAGGGGGAGGAGAGTATTTTGGTTTGAACTGTATACTGGAAGGGAGAACGGTGGATGCCATTATTCCATTTTACAGGCTAGAGGTAAAGTACATTGCTCATGGTCAATACATTGTGGATGAGTGGAAGGATTTTCTGGGCAAATGGGCTTGGCCCTGACTTATGGTAAAGGAGCAGGGTGCATGCCGTTTGGGTGGCAGGAAGTCCAGGTGCTGTGGGAGGGAGTAGGAAGACATAGGTCCAGCTCACCTCAGTAACTGAGGAATGGAAAGTTGTCAACAAGAGACCACTCATTCCGCTGCCTTCAGGCAAAAACTATGGTTTGGATAGAGGAGGATACTCTGATCTGTAAAGATCCAACCATTAGTTAGCTATAATTTCTTTCTTTTGAAACACTTCCACTTCCATTAACCGAGGTTCTTCCCCCATTGACTTCTACTTCCCCTTGGGTCTCCTTGGCATGGGCAACCTCCTTACTGAGACCTGGAAGTAGATAAATGTCTTCCTTCCAGCCCTCATTCTTGTCCTTTCCCAGGCCTGCAAACTGTTTCTCATCCTATCTCCACCATCCACACTGGGAGAACACTGCGGGTGTCATGGACTGGGGCACTGAGAAAACAAGACAGAAGCAAGGCCAAGTGTCTCACTTACCTTAAGCAGTTGAAAAAAACTGCACCCTCAGAAGGACCTCCACAAACAACAGGGAGATTCATGGGATGAAGGCCCTAAGGGGCCCTGCCCACCAGGGTCAGAGACCTTCTGACCTAGGGATGGATGTTGGTCAGTGGTAGTGAGAGGAATCAACCTCCTAGGAACAAAAATGAGGGATTGTAATTAGTGAAAGGATAATTATGCCAACTAACACTTGAGAGATGATTATGTCCCAGACATCTCTCCTCAATGTTTTAGACATATCATTTATAACCTCCACAGGACTATGGGGTTGGTGCCATTAGTATTTCTATTTTACAGGATACTTGTAAATTACACTGCTCACAATCCAAAATTAGTATTAAACATAAGTTCTTCAAAGGTTTGTGGGTGGATGGCCAAATGGGCTCAGCCCTGAGTCAGGGTGAAAGAGCACAGTGAAGTTAAAAGTAGCAGGGGCCCCAAGGTGTTTAAGAAAGGTGATGGAGAATGTTGGTCCAGCTCTCCTCAGTAGCTGAGAAATGGAAAATCATGAAAGAGAGAGTTGGTTCTGCTGCCTTCAAGCGAGAACTATGGTTGGTCTTGGGAACGGTACAAGTGTAAAAATGATCCAACCAAGCAGACAGTTACATATATTTTATTTCTCTCCAAACAGTTTCAGTTTCATTCACCTAGGACTTTCTCTACTCATCAGAGAGACAACACAGTGTTTCTGCCTGAGAATGCCTGTCCTCAAGGAGCTTTCAACCAGGCAAGCAATTAGTGACACTCATTAAGGAAGACAAGGTGGGGAAACAATGCAATGATGCAGGGATGGAAGATGGGAGAGTTCTTTTTACCTTCTGTATTTTATGAAGTTTGTATGCCTCCAAGCCTCTCTGGTCTGGTAGATATCTCCTCCTCAAGATAGCCAAATCTTGGGCTGGGAATGTGGCTCAGTGGTAGAGCTCTTGCCTTGCATGCCAAGGCCCTCAGTTCAATCCCCAGCAGCACATTAAAAAAAAAAAAAAAGACAGCCAAATCTTCCAAACATAATCAATTCCACCAGCAGCATGTCCTTCTTCTGCAAAATTACATTTCCTGCATCTACACTCCCAACACCTTCCTTACCTAACTCTCTCACACAAGGTATTTCCCTAATATTTCCCATGCTGTAAATCATCACAGGCCAAGTGTCATCATATAGTGACCTTCCCAACAAACATGTCCCATTGGAATTTTTGCAATTTTCCAACCAGCTCTGGCTTGCTGCGCCTTCAGAAATTCCAATAAAGGCTCTGCCATGCGACCCACCCAAGATGCTTCCCCTTGCTCTCCCCGGCATGGGCAGCCTCCTTACTGAGACCTGGAAATAGATAAAGGTTTTCCCTCCGAGCTTCATTTTTGTGCTCTCTTAGGCCTGCAAACTCTTTCTCATCCTACCTGCAACATCTACCCTCATAGAACACTGCAGGTTTCATGGACCTCGGTGGTGAAGAAACAGGAGAGAAGGAAAGCCGAGTGTGTCACTCACCATAAGGAGTTGATGACAAAAAAATGCACTCTTACAAGAACCTCCACAAACAGGGAGGTTCAAGGGGTGAAGACCCTGAGGAGCCCTGCCCAGCAGGGTCAGAGACCCACTGACCTAGGGATGGATACTGGTCAGTGGTAGTGGCAGGAATCAGCCTCCTAGGAGCAAAACTGAAGATGTTCATTAGGAAAGGATATTTATGCCAACTAACATGTGAGAGATGACTGCGCCAGATTCTAATCTGTAAAGATGACCCAACCCAACGGTCAGTTATATATAATTTACTTCTCTTCAGATATTCATTTTCATTCACCTAGGGTTGCCTCTACACATCAGGGACACAACAAAGACTGTTTCTGCCCAAGAATGCCTGTCATCAGGAAGCTTTCAACCTGCTTTTTGAGTCCAGGCGGGCAATTAGTGACACACATTAAGGAAAACAAGGTGGAGAAAACAAAGCAATTATGCAGGGATAGAAAATGATTTTATTTAACAATGTTGAAGATTGAATTGGTCCTCTCACAATCTAAATACATGCTGTACCACTGAGTAAAGTCCCAATCTTTTCATTTTGTATTTTTTTTAAATTTTTAAATCATCTGTGTTACTGGAGAGTGAATCCAAAACTTCCCACATGCTAGGCAAGTGACCTGTCGCCAAGTTATATCGATAGCCTTTTTCATCTAAATCTTTGATATTTTGAAGGAGGGTATTTTTAAGTTGCCCAGGTTTTGTAGGGATTTGTCATCCTCCTGCCTCAGCCTCTGGGGTAGCCAAGGTACAGGTGCAGAAGACCTCACCTGGCCAACTCATAATTCAAGTGATCGCTCAGCAGAAGCCTCCTCAGGGACTTTTACTGCAGTCATACTTCCTCTTAGCCTTCCCTCTGCTACTGTCTTTGTATTCAGTATCTCTCTGTGGTTATATTTTATTTACTCATTCATTTTATTTTGTTGGGATCACACTCAGAGCCTCTTATGTGCTTGTTATTTTTCTGTTAATTGCTGGCTCAGATACTTGAATAAACAATATTTTGCATGTTTGTAGAAAGGTGTGTTCAAATGGTCTTTGGGCCACAATGATATGTGGCTGTAATCCTGTCTGAGTACACGGAGGCTGGACGACTGCAAGTTCATGGTCAGCCTGGGCAACCTAGAGGAATTCTGTCTCAAAGTGTAAAATAAATAAGATAAAAAGGTCAAGAGATAAACTCTGTATTAGAATTCCTCTGATGTTAATGCACAGTATCCAAATGAATAAATCTGAAATCCATATACTAACAGTATCTAATTATAAAAATAATTTTAGGGCTGGGGATATTACTCAGTGTCAGCAAGCACAGTGCTTGCTGACAAGTGTGAGGTTTTGAGTTCAATTCCTGGTACCAAAAACTAATAATAACAATTTTAATCACAGGGTCTTAAATGAAATACTAATAAGTGAAAAAAATACATAACCCAAAACTTATCCAAGTGTCTTAAAGAGTGACTCTACTGGGTTCATAGTTTAGTGGTAAAACACTTCCCTACCATGCAGGATACCATTTGTTTGTACCCAATATTGCAAAAAGACAAATACAAAATAAAAAGAACAACGTACCGAATGAAGCAGTCTTCTGTGTCAGACATGGTGGGACACACAATTAGAGCAACTAGGGTGACTGAGAGAAGAAAATGGACAGTTGGAGCCCAGCCTGGGTAACTTAGCAAGGCCCTTTTCTCAAAACACAGCAAAATAATAAATAAATAAATAAATAAATAAATAAAGCTTGTGTCTTTAGCCCTGTCCTCCATCATTTAACTTCCAGAACCTTAAATTTTAGTGTTGGAGGGAGTCTTTATTTCTAAAGATTTAAAGTACATTGTAATTGTTCCCAAAGAGATTTATTTCTGAAACTTAATAAAATGCTTATTGTATAAAGACTATGAGTTTATAAATAAAATGCAGTTATTCTTAAATGGACTTTTTGTGACACTGTGGTGAATATTTACCTGGGCAATAAAACTAGTCATTAAAACATCCAACCCTTAGTTATCTGTAACTCTGTTCTCTTGAAATCCTTCACTTACTTTCACCTAGCACTGACTCTGCATGTCAGGGAGGCAGCAGAGGTGTCTGTGTCAAAGAGCGCCTGCTCTCAGTGAGTTTTCAAGCTGCTATGGAAGCCAGGTGTGGTGGTGCATGCCTGTAATCCCAGCACTTCGGAGGCTGAGGCAGGAGGATCGTTGCAAGTTCGAGGCCAGCCTGAACTGCAATAGCAAGACCCTGTCTCAAAAAGACAAAAAAAAAAAAAAACTGCTATGGAAAGCAGGCGAGTGATTAGTAACCCATGGAGGCAGAGGGAGGAGAAAGCACATGATGGTGCAGGGGTAGGAGTTGGGGATACAAATGCACCTTTTAGCATCATAAGTCATGGACTATTTATGGATTGAATGCAGGTCTTTCCCACTGAGCAAAATCCCAAGTTATTTTTTCTTTATAGTTTTAAAATGAGGTCACACTAAGTCACTAGGTTGCCCAGACTGGGCACAAACTTGTGACCCTCATGCCTCAGCCTACCAGAAAACTGGGATTATAGGAATAGACTACCAACCTAACCCCTTTAGCCTTTCTGTAGGGAAGGTATATTACTGACGAATTTCCTCAGATTTTTTTTTTAAATTGGGGATGTCCTCTTCCTCCTCCACCTCCTCTTTCCTTTTCTCCCTCCCCTCCCTCTGTCCCTCCTCTGCCTCCTCCCCCTCCTCCACTGCCTCTCCTTCTTCCTCTTTTTCTTCTTCTTCCTCTTCTCCCTCTTCCTCCTCTTCCTCTTCTTCTTCCTCCTAGGGATTGAACACAGGGCCTTTTACATGCTGTAATGCAGAGACAACGCAAGGTCCTCTTTCAACACTATTTTTTTTTTCTTTCAGCACTTTAATTATGGCATCCTGCTGCCTGCTGGCCTTCATCACTTCTGATGAATAATCAACAGTTAACTGGATTCAGTTGTATGTTATAAGTCACTTCTAAAACTTTTGAGTCCAGACCAGGCAACTTAGCAAACACTTAATAGAGGTAACTAAGTTAAAATGAATTCTTTAAGGTGGGCCTGAGTACAATGAGCAGTGTCCTCCACAGGAAAAGAAAATTTGGACACAGACACCTACATAGGAAAGATAAAGGCAGAGGTCAAGGTGATACACCCAATCACCAACAAACATTAAAGCTTGTCAACTACCACTAGAAACTAGAGGAGACGCAGGGAGATTTTTCCTTACAATCCTCCAGAGGGGCCAACCATGTCACACCTTGATCCTGGCCAGTCATCCTCCAGAGATATGTAATGATTTATTTCAGCCTCCCAGATTTATTGCTTATAGCCACCCACTAATCTAGGCAGGTACTTAGATATCCCTGCAATAAGTCACATGTCATTAGAGATGTAAGGGGTTAGTAATAGAAAGCAACTTGAAGTGGTGGCTGAGACAGGGGTGTCTTCTGGGCAAACGGAACAGGATCTGCCTATATTAGGCTTTTTACTTTCTGTATTTTATAATGCTTGTCCATCTCATGCAGCTTATGACCAAGGAAGACTCCTCCTCCTAGAAGAGTTCGTTCTTCTGCATAGTGAAGAGTGCCTCCCACAAAAGCATAACTTTCCTATAAAAATCAACGCATCCTGAGTCTATATCTCCAATAACTTGCTTATCTACCTCCCACTAGGCAATATTTGCCCTGCTCTAAACCAATAGGGGTCAAGTGCCAGGCTACTAGAGACCTCCCCAACCACCAAAGCCCAATGGCATCATTCAAATTTGACAATTCTAAGCTACCTACTCTGCCTTGGCTTACTGTGCCTTCAGAGAGCCCAATGAAGGCTCTGGTTCAGGCTCTCCCCTCATTCTCCTCTTCTGCCAGGTGACCAACCCTGGATGGTTCCCCTTGGTTCTCCCTCGCATGGGCAATCTCCTCTCTGAGACCTGGAATTTGCTAAATGTCTTCCTCCCAAGTCTCATCTTGTCCCCTCTTGGACCTGCAAACATTTCCTCATCCTATCTCCAACATCTACACTCTTAGAACTCCATAGGTTTCATCAATTGGGGATGTGCAAAAACAGGAGAGAAGATAAGTCATGAGTGTTTCACTCACCTTAAGGAGCTGATGATGGAAACTGCACCTCCAGAACAATCTCCCTAAATGGGGACATTCAAGGGGTGCAGGCCACTGAGGGGCCTGGCACCAGGGTCAGAGATGCTCTGATCCTAGGGATGATGGTCAGTGGTGTCAGCAGGTATTAACCTCCTAGGAGCAAAGATGAAGAGGGATTGTCATTAGGAAAGGATATTTATGCCAGCTAACAATTGAGAGATGCCTCTGTCCCAGGCAACTCTCTTGAATGTTTTGGACATGACATTTACTATTTACAACAGGACCATGGAGTAGATGCCACTAGTGTTTCAATTTACAAGTTAGGTGTTAAGTACACAGCTCATACTCTCACAACAGGTGTCAAAGAGTATGTTCCTCAGAAAGCTGTGCATAGAGGGATTTTCTAGGCAGATGTAAGAGCATGCATAAAAAAGAAATTAAAGCAAAAAGGAGAACTCTGTGACTAGTTTACCTTGAGTTATTGGAGAAAATCCAGAGCTCTCAAAAAAAAACCCTCTGAGTTTAAGATAATTTGGTGATCATATAAGTAAACTACCAGCATAATGCTTTCTTTGATCTTAAGTTTGTTAATTGGGGCTGGGGATATAGCTCAGTGGCATAAGCTCTTCCCTGGCAAGTCTGAGGTCATGAGGTCATGAGTTCAATTCGTGGTACCAAAAAAAAAAGTGTGTTAATTGGTGTCTGAGGTCAAATGAAATGACCTAGAAGAAGGTGGATATAGAGCAACAGTCATAAATGCATCAAAGTTAATGAAAGAATATACAACTATCTGTTATTTTGGCACTATTATATATCTTGTCTCTCTTTTATATAATCTGTATTAATTAAACATGTTAACTCACTAATTATGGTCAGCAACACCACAAAAGATGTATATATTTTTTAAAATTCACAGCAGTACACATTAGTATTTTTTTCTAGGATTCCTGGATGGAAGATGTTGTGTGTTTTCTCCTGATGGAACCACTGGGTATAGGAAGATACTGAATAATACAAAGTTCCTTTTTTACACATATGTCCTTACATCTTCATGTCAAGAATTGTCACTTATTAAAAGGAGTAAGCCCAGGCTTATTAAAAATGTTGTAAGTGCTTATCTGAGCAGAAACCTCACTTATTCACACGGGGAACTAGAAGGCCTTTTTCAGAGTTAGTGTGTATGCCAAGAAGAGAAATAGGTATACAGTACTTCAGCAATCTGGTAGGGGTTGGCTTTGACCTGAGGCAGATGAGCTGTAATGAAGGAAGTGGAAGGTGCAGGTTATGAAGTGCCTAAGGATTAAGTCATCCTAGAAAAACAAAGCAATGTAAGAGCGGAAAAATGAGGGAAATCCAAAGGGGAGATGCACCTTCAGGCTCAAAGTTTCCTTGATTTGAACGATGTCCTTTACTGTCTGGCAGTTAGAATCAGGTATCTTTGTGACAAAGTTAAAACATTAGAACTAGCACACAAAATACTAAGAATGACTAAAAATTCTGGAAAAAGTTCAAGGGACCTAGTAATTCTACGTGATGTATATACTTTTATTCACTAGGGCATGGTGGTGCACACCTGTAATCCCAGCATTCGGGAGGCTGAGGCAGGAGGATCACTGCAAGTTCAAGACCAGCCTGGCGTACAAAGTGAACTCAAGGCCAGCCTGAACTGCATGACAAGACCCTATCTCAAAAAGACAAAATAATAATACTAATTTCATCATACAGTTTAAAAAAGAGGTGATAAGATAACTATGTTAGGTATTGATATAAACTCACACTTGCTGGTAACCCCAAAATATTTCCTACTGGTTTCAACCATGCCCCCATGCTCTGAATAGGAGGGTTGAGGCATACCATGAAACAAGCAGAAAAAAATGAAGACGAATGTATGTACCCTTACGTGAAGAACTGGGACAGGGAAAAGCAAGTTGCAGAACAATTTGTACAATAACATACAGTCTTACAATAAAAACAAACACCTCAAGTGGTAGAATGTCAGCCAGGCATGGTGGAGCACGCCTGTAATCCCAGCACTTGGGAGGCTGAGGCAGGAGCATCACTGCAAGTTCAAGAACAGCCTGAGCTAAAAAGTGAGCTCTAGGTCATCCTGAACTGTATAGCAAGACCCTGTCTGAAAAAGACAAAAAAAAGGTAAGATGTCTTATATATTATTATTTTGTATCTGTAATTAGGTTTGTGAATGTATAAAATTTATGTGTACAAATATGTACACAGGTATATGCATAAATGTATATTTATATGTATACAGCATTTCTCATTTAACGACCTACCTGTTAAATGACTGTTCATACTTACCACCCATATATAATTTCCGTACATCTTCTTTATAGAGTCTCAGTGTCTTTTTTGGTAGAATATATCTTGCTTATAGAGTAATTTTTGCTGATTGTACTGTATAGTACTGTAACTTTATGTTCTTATATACTATAGTACTGTGTGTGTTATGCAAATAAAAGTAGTCATCAGGTTGTAGTTTCCTTTGACCATTTCTTTACTCTGAATATTGTAATGTACATGCTACATACAATACAAAACTCAGTCGTTAAATGAATATCTGTATACATAATGTATATATTTATGCATATGTACCTACATATGTTCTATAATAAAGTATATATTTCAAATCTGTGTTTTTACTATCTTACGCTATTTTACGTATTGTCTACTTTCATATATATATATATATATATACTTATATACACACACATATGGGGGGGTGACAAATTTTAAGGCAGGACACAAGGCGTTAGTTCTGCATATGTACCTACATATGTTCTATAATAAAGTATATATTTCAAATCTGTGTTTTTACTATCTTACGCTATTTTACGTATTGTCTACTTTCATATATATATATATATATATATACTTATACACACACATATGGGGGGGTGACAAATTTTAAGGCAGGACACAAGGCGTTAGTTCTGATGACGGGAAAGCAAGACTGGGTCTCAGGGTCAAAAGAACTTTAGACTTCGTACAGAGTAGCCCAGAGGGGCTCGAGGGACGATGCGGGGGTTCTCCTGGGCAACTCGGGCAGCAAGCCCCACCATCACCCTCGCCCTCCAACTAGGCGTACTCCCACCTCAGTACTACAGTCCCAAAACTCGCACGCTGGAGCCCGCCGCCTGTCCTCCTCAGGTAAGTCCTTCATGGCCCCGCCCACTGACGGTGGGGCGCGCCCGTGTCAGGAGTGAACTTCCGCCCGCCCTACAGTCGCTTCCGGGTCAATTGCGAAGCCTAAACTGCAAGCCTGCGGGAGGGGCGAGGCGGGTGTTTGAGGGGAGTGGGCGTTTGCGCACCTAGAAGCGCAAAGCTGTGCGAAGGGTGAGCTTTGGCTGCATCGCCAGCATCACTTCCCGGCCGAGGGCGCCACTCAAGTGATGGTGAAAGAGCAGGGTCAGTTCTAGGTGGCTGGAGCCCCTGTGGGCCGACGGAAGGGTGTCGGGGATGTGTGTGCCGCTCTCCTGAGTTAGGCTTGAAACCGAAACCCGAGGAAAAACGGTTCTCTCCCCTAACTGTGCTTTGCGGAAGGTGCAAGTAAGCTAGAATCAAGTCTCCTAGAAGCCATGACTAAAGGCTAACCAAAGAAAATAACAGTCTTGGAGAAGAGTTACAGGGAGCCTGTCACAACTACGTCAGTTTATGCAATGGCACCCCAGTCCTGTGGGTTAGGAGTCATCAAGACCTTTACAAAGGAAGGACGGGGCAACAGGGCAATAACATGTTTAAAGTCTCAACTAGTAATGAAAAGATTCCCTGTCAACATTAAGTTGAATAAAGATGTTACGTTTAGAGTTCACACCTGAAGAGACCTGAATCTCGTTCAGCTGGGGAGATGGTTAAATTTACCATGGAACATTTTGTTTGTAAAGTTGTGTTACAATAACAGAAAGCTCCTGAGACATATGGATCGGAGAGCAAAAGTCAACTTGAAGAAAAATATGTAGCTGGTAATTCTTATACACAAAGACAGATCCCTCAAAACTTTTATTGTGGTACGTACGTACCTATTTACATGAATAGAAAACGAATCTATATGTACAATTTAATAGCAACAACTGGAGCGATACACATTAAGCTGACAACAGTGAGTTGGGGGAGGAAGGGAGGCATAAGGACTTATGGATATTATGGGAAGAGGACTTTTCTTTATTCACAGTGGGATTTTTTGTGGGAGTATGGCGAGAAAATGTGTGTGTATGCGTAGTGTGTGTATGTGTGTATATATATTTATATGAAAAAATTTCAAAACGTCTAAAAATGGGATCACTTAGGAACCCACTGTAACAGATGATACTGGAATAGTTATAGAATTAAAAATCACTTAAAAATCCACCTTTAATGGGTAAAGATTTTAAAATTATGAGAATATGAACACAAAAGTAAAATATTCTCAGCAACTGCCAAAAGAAAAATTTAAAAGTAATTAAAATGGTGCAGTATTTCATTGTTTAGTACCAGGAAACAAAAAAGTTACCTGAAACAGATCTAGAACTACAATCTATAGCTCATATAAAAAAAGATACTGAATAATATTAAAAGAATTTTTCAAATTTGGCTCTTGATTTTCTCAGGTGGAATATTTACAATGTATTTTATAAGCTGTTGGGGTTTTTTTCCACAATTCTTTTCATTTGCATTTACTTTTAAATTTCAAAAAAACTTTTCGAGATAGGATCTTGCTATGTAGTCCAGGCTGACCTTGAACTCACTATACCCCAATTTGGCCTTGAACTCAGGACCCTCTTACATGAGATACCCGATGGTTGTTTTTAATAAAACTGCTAAATCTTTGCCAAAATCTTAATCTGATAGTTGAGAGTTAAGATATTGAAATTATAAAATACTTAATGTGTAAAAACACTTTAAACCTGGCTTGGTGGCAGATGTCTGTAATCCTAACTGCTGAGACTGAGACAGGAGGATCACAAATTGGACCCCAGCCGAGGAAACTTAGTGAGACCTGTCTCAAAATATAGAGTGAAAAGTACTGGAAATATAATATCCTTGAGGGTTCAATCCCCAGGACCTACCCCCGCTACACACAGAGCCTTTAAAAAGTCCCTAATAATATCACTGTGCTCCCCTGAGACTGATGCCTCAAAGCCCAAAGGCTAAATCCAGAGATTGAAATGGGGGCCATCTACTCTTATTGGCAGTAACCACCAGAAATCATCACTGAAAATATGTCAGTCGATCTAAGAAATATCAAGAGCCAGGTTTTGTTTGAGTTATTCGCCTTTAGAGGTGTAAAGAAAGCAAAAATAGATGTGCCCTCCTGAGCAATCCCTTGGCACTTGAGACTGTCACGGTGTTGCCAGGATCTTAGCAAGTGAGTGGCTTAATGCTGATGACACCTCAAGAGTTGCTTGCCAGCCATGCAGACTAACAGATTTCTCACTCCCCACTGGCTAGGCCACTCCTCACCCTCGCTGGATGGTTGAGATCTTGTTTAACATATATATTATAGCTATGTAATAAGTTACCCGCAAACATTTTCCTTTAGTTTCTGAGGTCTAAGAATCAGCATTGTGACTTGGTGGTTTAGTCTTACTCTTTCTTGAGGTTTTTCAGGGCTATGAGTCACATTTAGGTTGCATGGAGATGTAGATCTACAGGTTCACTTCCTTATTATTGATTGTCCTTAGTTCCTCCCCATGGGGACCTTCCCATGAGGGTACCCAGTTTTCATTCCCCAGAGCAGAGGGGTGGAGAGAATGAGAAGGAAGCTGCTTCATTCTCTTCTGAACCAGTCCCAGAAGTCACAACCCGTCCATGCTCTATTGTAATGATTCACAGACCAGCCTTAGTACAGGGTGAGAGGGAACTTAACATTGGTGTGAAGACCAATTGGTTTTTCTCCCATTCAACAGATTGAGCCCAAGGCCTTGTAGGGAGCTACACAATGACTACCACACCCTTTCTACTTTGGAGATGGTCTACATAGGTCCCTAGGTTGCCCAGGCTGGGCTTGAACTTCCAATCCTCCTGCCTTGGCCTCCCAGAATGTTGGGATTACAAGCAATTGCTACCCCACCACATTCCTAGAGACCATCTTGAAGGCTAGTTATCACCATTTCCCAAACTCTTTCACTGATAATTCTTCAGTTCCTACAAAGAACCAAGATCTACTGTAGAAATGAAGGCATTTCAGGTGCTACAAATAAGACTGGTTCCAATGCTACACATGGAACCAAACATCAAATGGATAAGAAACCTTAACATCAAATGAATAAGCACTAAGGGAAAACAAAAAATTCATTCTACTTCAGTTATAGACCTAATCACATTATTAGATATCTTGTATTTTATATTTATACATCGTTTTTTGTTTTTATCTTTTTGAGACAGGGTCTTACTATGCAGCTCAGGCTGGCCTTGAGCTCATTTTGTAGCCCAGCTCGAACTCGCAATGATCCTCCTGCCTCAGCCTCCTGAGTGCTGGGATTACAGGCATGCGCCGCCACACTCGGCTATATTTTTTTTTTTTTTTAAGGATAAAAGGAGGGAAACATTAACAGACATACAACATTTTACAACATATCACAAGCACAATACAGACAATACAGAGTTCCAAACAAAGTGGTAGGGAATTAACAATGGTGGTTGTATTACATATTGATATCTTCAAAGTGGCTTCTCATGAAAACAGATATAGACATGCAATACTGGTCAACCAAAGACTCATTGACAGTTTCTTTCAGCATAGAAACAGAAGACAGAAGAACAACCATGCTATCTATCCTGTATATACATACATACAAAATTTCTCCTTCGTTCCCTTCTCTTTTCCCACATCCCAGAAGCCCTTTACTCTTCGGTGGTTTCCTATCATTTCACAGTGTCTATCATACCTCCGAGTTTAAATTAACTCTTTCAAGTTTTACACAAGTGACACAATGCGGTGCTTGCACATGTATGTTTGATTTATTTCACTTATGAGTATGGTCTCTAGTTGTGACCATTTAAATATAAAGGCCTCGAGTTTATCTTTCTTTACAGCTGAGTAATATTCCATTATATAAAAGTACCATAATTTTCTTATCCAATCCTCGGTGGATGGACATTTGGGTTGCTTCCACATTTTAGCAATTACAAATTGTGCTGCTATGAACATAGGTGCACATATATCACCGTGATATGATGTTTTTAGATCTTCTGGGAAAATACCCAGCAGGGGGATAGCTGGGTTGAATGGGACCTCTAAACCTAGTTTTCGGAGGAATCTCCAAACTGATTTCCACAGTGGTTTCACCAGTCTGCATTCCCACCAGCAGTGGAGAAGGGTTCCTATTTCTCCACAGCCTCGCCAGCATTTGTTATTGGTTGATTTCTTAATGCTAGCCATTCTTACTGGGGTAAGGTGGAATCTTAGTGTTGTTTTAATTTGCATTTCTCGAATGACTAATGATGTTGAACATTTTCTCATATATTTATTTGCTGTTTGTATCTCCTTGTCTGAGAAATGTGTGTTCATCTCAGCTGCCCATTTTGTGTTCATCTCAGCTGCCCATTTTCGGCTATATTTGTATATCTGTTGAGCCATGTAATAGATGGATCCAAACAGGTTTTTTTCACACTGCTGAGGTTTGATTTCAGTGTCTTGCACAATCCCCAGCACTGCAAAAGGAAATAAATAAAAAGATTCTTGAGGAGTTTTACTTCTCCTGGTGTGGTAGCATGCCTACAATCACAGCTACTCAGGAGGCTGAGGCAAGAGGTTTGAAAGCTTGAGCCCATGTAGCTGGCCGTGGTTGTACACAGCTATAACATTAACACTTGGGAGGTTAAGACAGGAGGATCACTGCAAGCTTGAGGCCAGCCTGCACTACATAGTGCGTTCAAAGGAAGTCTAAACTATATAGCAAAACCCTGTCTCAAAAAAGAAAGTAAATTCAAGCCTGAGCAACTTAGCAAGATTCTGTCTCAAAATTAAAAATAAAATGGGCTAGGATTTTAACTCAGTGCTTCCTGGATTTAACTCCCAGTACCTCAACGGGAAAAATAAGTCTTCTTACATTTGTAAAGATTCGAAGTACAATGTAATTGTTCTCAAAAAGATTATTTGAGCTTAATAAAAAAATGAAATTGCTATATAAATAAAATGCAGTTATTCCTTTTCTAAAAGTACTCCTTTTGACAATAAAATGTTTTGAATGTTCACCTG